GTGCTGAGAACACCCAGCACGTCCTACCTGGGAGGGAAGGGCAGAGCAGGGACCATGGGACCTTACTTAGGGGCAGGGCTTCCCTAGACCTCTGCCCTTAGGGACTCCGGGGTCAGCAGGCTGGTCAGGTTCCCAACAGAGACACGCTTGTCCAGGAGACGGGAAGGACGTGGGCTGGTCAGGTTCCCAACAGACACGCTTGTCCAGGAGATGGGAAGGACGTGGCCCTCTTGGTGCCTTTTCTTTTTTTTGTTGGTCCTTCCCCTTCCCTCCCTCCTTCTTTCCCTCCTTTCCTTCCTCCCTTCCTTCCCCCTTCCTCCCTGCCTTCTCCCTCCTTCCCCCTTCCCTCCCTGCCTCCTCCCTCCTTCCCCCCCATCCTCCCTTCCTCCCTGCCTCCCCTTCCTCCCTCACTTCCTTCCAGTGGCATCACTAGGGTTGGTGTCTCCCAGTAACTCATGGTGTCGCCCTCCACCCCCATGGACCTCCTCCTACACCAGACCATACAGAATCCTTAGTAATGTTTTTTGTACTAATGTTACTCATAAATCGTAATTCCTGTGTATCACTCCTTCTTTTCCTTTAATTACTATTTCATTCTCAAAAAAGTTATATGTTCACAAATACTAATCACCATACTATTGCAGCTAAAACACCAGAAAATTTGACAAAATCAGCCACTATAAAAACTCTGGCAGCAAGGAAAACAACAGGGCACGCGCGTAGCACGTGCAGAGGAAACCACGTGCAGATGCAAAGCTTCATTGTAACCGAGTAATAACGACAGCTCTGACGGGCGCACATGAGAAGCTTCAAAACGTAAATTAGCATAGAGTTTTAGCCTTGTAGGTATACTGACACATACCAACTGGGCTTACGAAAACTGTTTTTGTTGTTGTAACTAACTACGGGGGTATTTCTACGGACAGTCATCTTGATGTCACCCCCTCTGACAGTGTCACCTGGTACAGTCCATCCCCCCTGCACACCCCTAATGATGCCACTGCTTCCTTCCTCTTTCCCTCTCTCTTTTTCTTGCTGAAGAAAAGCCATCTGCTATTGTAAATCTGCCCCAAGAAGTGAGATTTCCAAAAAGGGATAAATCACAGAAACTGCTTGTTTAACTCCATGGGAAGGCGCCATCCATCCCAGGCTGAGCAAGTGCTCCACGCAGTGACCTGACCCCATTAAACCCTTCACTGCCCCACTAACCGTAAATATCACAGATCATGCTTTTCTTATTTATTTTAAAAGTGCATTGAGTACTCATGAAAGAAGCTCGTCTTAGACCACCAGCTCTTTCAGCAAAATACTGTGTCCTCCACTGGGACTGTTTTGGCAACACGTTGTTATTGCTGAGTGTGGCTGGATTTGAACCAATTGCTTAGGACTAGAACACTTAGTAGCTCATTATTCCTCCCTAAAACCATAGATATTTTCCTCATATTGTATTTTTGTGGTTTTTGCATGCCCTAATTGCTATTAAAAAAAAAAAAAGCCACGCTTTTTGAAATAGCATTTACACGGGATGAGAACTCACAAATGGAAGACATTCACACGTGTCCCTCGGAACCCAAGAGGAAGGCACATCCTTGGGGGGTGTCTTTGTGTGAACAGATAATGATCAAAGCTCAAAGGTAGAGCTGACCAGCCCACAGTTTGCACACCTGTTTATTGTCTTCCAAAACGTGTGCATCACCCTGAACTCCTAGGCCCCCCTCTGCACCCACGTGTTGGGATCCTGCCTGTCACCAGCACCCAGGAGTTCTTCAGCAAATTCTTATCTCTGGGAACATGTAATAAAAGAATTCTGGTAGCGGTTTTGGCTCTGGGTCCATGTTAGTGTGCATGGTTTTCTCGTCACGTGGAGAGGATGCTAAGCTGTGTCCCACATCCCCAAGGACACAGTGGGTCAGGAGGGTGTTGGGAGAAGCCTTTTTTTCCAGAGGCAGTTGGAAGATGAAGTCAGTGTGCACACAGACAGGTATGCCAGTGTTCATGGCAACACTATTGACAACAACCAGAAGGTGGAAACAACCCAAGTGTCCATCAGTGAGTAAATGCACAGGCAAACTGTGTATGTCACACAATGCAATATCACTCAGCCACAAAGAGAAACAAAGCCTGAATATACGCTACAACGGGGATGGAGCTTGAAGACATCACCCTGAGCAAAATACGCTAGACTCGAGAGGACGAATACTGTATGACCTCACTTACATGAAATATCTAGATTAGGCAAGTGTACAGAGACCAGAGTTCACTGACGGTTGCCGGGAGTGGGCGGCGGGGGGAAAGGGGATCACTGCTTAGGGGGCTCTGAGTTTCTGTTAAGGGTGAGGACAAATCGGGGAACGTATAGTGGTGATGGTTTTAGAACGTGGTGAGTACAATTAATGTTGCTGAACTGCACGTGTGAAAAATGTTGAAATGGCAAGTGTATTGTTATCTATATTTTTACCGTACAGACACACACACACACAAATATCCCCTATTGGATCTCTTCCAAATTCTGTGTTGCAAAAAGTAGTTGAATCTTGGAGCAGAATATCAAGGGACACTTGGCTCTGTTTTAAAATGATTTCTTATATATTAAGAACAAGATAAAACTGTTTTTGTACGGCCTTATTTAAGTCAATGCAGGTTGGATTCAGGGGCTATATGAGCAAGATACACTGTAGGTTAGGGTTAGAGGGAGAGAGGGAGAGAGAGGGGGAGGGAGAGGGGGAGAGAGAGAGGAAGGGAGAGAGAGAGAGAGGGAGGGAGAGAGAGAGAGGGAGACCGCCTGAGGCAGAGATAGATCAGTATTCACTGTTGTACTCTGAACACAGCCACTAGTGGGATTTTCGGTGGGCGGTGTGGGCTGTACTGACATTAGATTACAAAGTGGTGTGAGAATTCAATGGAGAAACGCTCTCGTGAGGGAGTTCCAAAGATGGCTTAGGAGTTTTCATTCACGACAGAGAGCCCTACATAGGTCTGTTCAGAATCTTACCCGAGTATTGTTAGTTCTAGTCAAAAGTGGGAAACATTGTTTCTTTGACTCACAGCAGGAACACATCTAAAAATAAACTGATGACTAAGAAACCTAAGCTCTTTAAGAAATCTAGATCTGTAAATGCAGAGCCCTGAAGGATGAGACAAGGAAGGAGGGATTTTCAAAGCTTCATGCGGTGGCCGCACGGACGAGGGGGCAGCTTTATTTCACAGGGGTACTGAAAAGCAAAAACAAAACAAAAAACACAGTGCTGTCATTGATTCTGAGTCAGGGTGACCCTGTGGATTCAGAGTAGAGCTGTGATCCATAGGGTTTTCATTGACTGATTTTTCTTAAATAGATTGCCAGGCCTTTCTTCCAAGGTGCCTCTGGGTAGACGTGAATCTTCAACCTTTCGGTTACCAGCTGAGCATGTGAACTGTTTGCACCACCCAGAGACTCTCTCCAGAGTCAAAATCCTGTATTTCTGATGCCTGGAAGCCATGTAACATTTCACCAAATGGTAACAGTGACAGTTGGGAAACGGTTTGGGTTATTGTCCAAATCCAAATCCGTTGTCAGCAAGTCAATTCCAGCTCTTATAGGACAGAGTAGAACTGCCCCGTAGGGTTTCCAAGGAGCAGCTGGTAGATTCCAATTGCCGACCTTCTGGTTAGCAGCCGAGCTCTTAACCACTGCGCCACCAGGGCTCCTGCGTTATTGTAAACACCTAAAAATGGTCTAAAAGTAGATGACCAGGAAAATCGTGTTCGTTTTTATCCACTGGCAAAATTAACTCTCCAAATGCTTCACTCAGTAATTTCATCCCTATGTGGCCGGGGGAGGACTGGCGTGTCATGACAGGGCTGCGCGCAGGCCTGGGACGCGGGCGCCGGACAATCAAGAGGGTCCACATGTCAGCCACCACTTCCCGCGCGGCACCCACAGCATGGCGGACACGCACCTGTGGGAGTGGGTGTTACGGAATGGTTGCGTTTTGTTTCTTGAAGCGTGTGAGAGCCCATAACCTGTGTGTGTCTTCAGTCAACCCCTCCAGGGGATAGAAGATGCCCAGAAGTTTGTTATTTCTCTGCCGTCAGCACTCCTTCAGAGGAATGACTTTCTTCTACCCTTTCCCACAACATCGCTGTCCTGTCTCCAAGAAACTGGACAGACACATTCGCAAAATATCCCAGAGCGTGTGTCTTCAATGTACACGGGGGCCTATATCCCAGCGAAGTATTCAAAATTTAAAAATAAATATCAAGTTCCATTCCATATGCACTCTTTGCTAAGGAGTATTACCTAGCACGCACCTAATTCTAAAGGTGTTCTGAACAGAATATTCTGATCTGAGTTGGAAGCTAAACTCCCAATTAGTTCTGAACAGATTTCCTTTTTCTATTCCTTTAAGCGGGTGTAATAAGGATAAGGAAAATAGCTGGTACTGTAGCAGTTTTGATCTGTTGGGGAAAAAAAAATACCTCATATTTGTAATATAAATCTGTTAGTATAATATAAATGTTAAAAAAAACATGTCACAACTTACTTGGTCCGCCTTAGTATTTCCTGGGCTCCTCTAAAAAGAGATAATTCGTCAGTTTTCTTTACTATAAGCTGGAATCAAGCTAAAACCAGGGCTTTTACTTAGCTTCAGTTGCATAACCTCTTCATTACTTTAAATAGCGTTTTAATCTAATTATCTGCACTAGCTCAGCATGGTGACATGTGAGAAGGTTATCGTGAAGCTTTTCGGATGAAGAAACTGTAATCTTCTGGTTAAAGGGTCCCACATACTTGTTCAGCTAGTTAACGGCAGGATTTGGAGCTAATCTTCTGTTTCCCAGTCTAGAGAGTGTTGCTGCAGATGGCATTGTCCCCTCGGGGCACTAGGTCGCGTGTGTGATTTAACTGGAAAGTGCCAGGCTCTGTGAACTAATCAGGATGGATTGGAGTGGCTGTGTGACCTAGTTCTTGATGACATGTGATGCTGAAACGTGATCTCACTCTCCCCGTCTTTGTTTAGGTTCTGTAAATGAGAAGTTGCCCCAACGAGAAGGCACGGCAAGAACAGGTAACTATCTTAAATGAATTTCCATGATGGTGCACAACATCCCAAATATGGTTTATGTCCTGAATTCAGAATCGAACATGTACTAGTAATGGTAGAAGGAGCCCTGGTGGAACCAAGGTTGAACACTCGGCTGCTAATCAAAAGGTTGGGGTTTGAACCCACCAGTGGCTGCATGGGAGAAAGACCTGGAAATCTGCTCCCTTAAAGACTGCAGCCTAGAAAACCCTGTGGGCCGTTCTACTCCGTCACATGGGGTCGTACGAGTAGAGATCAACTGGACGGCAATCAACACCAACTGTAATGGTAGTGACAGCTGAGACGGTTAGTTAATGAAGTATTCATTCAGCAAACGTGTATTCAAGATTTACTCTTGCCAGCCACTTTGCTGGGTGCTGGGCATAGAATCTGCTGGAAAGCCCACACGTGTCCAGATCAGGGGCCTGGGACTGGGCTGTGGCAGGACCACCTGTAGATGGTGTAAGAGATGGAGTTGTGGGTCCACCACGGGAACATGGTGCAGCGGCCGTGGACGGGGTCAAGGACTCTGTTTCCGCTCTGCAGATGATCCTACAGCATGCCATCTCAGGGCACCTCTGATGAAGATGTCCCAACTGTTCCCCACAGGGAAGAGGGACACTTTTCCTTCCACGAGAGTTGCTTCCTCCACCCCCGGTACAAACAGTCCAGAGAGCCCACCATTCTCAGAGTCAGCTTGTAGCTGACGGGGTTGTCTTCCCGTGGCGAGAAGGTGCCTGTGGTGAACCTGCTCGTCCAGTTTTCTTGGCCCTTCCTTCGGCTTCCACCCTTTAGAACCAGTGACAGTTCTCTGCTTTTTGGTCTTATATCAACCTTTGAAGTCAGAAGTTATTTTTATAAAACTTTATATTATGTCATTAACAAACAGTCTTGGCTGTCACTACCATTACTAGTGACAACAGGCAATGATGTTGAAGAACCCAAATCTTGGGCATTCTCCTTTTTTCTTTGTTTCTGACGGAGGTTATGGTACATTGAACCAGTTGTTGTTGTTGAGTGCTGTGGAGCTGATTCCGACTCGTAGAGAACCGGCAGCAGAGATAAAAGTAATACAAAGCCTAAAATTCTCTAGTTGTATTGAATTCACCTCCTGGGGCCCATGTTGAACCTGTGGTGGATACGTCCCTGCCTTAGGGCCTTCACCATCTGCCTTAGTTCCCTGGTGCTGCTGTAACACAAATACTACAATTGGCTGGCTTTAAAAAATAGTCGCGTATTTTCTCATAGCTTGGGAGGCTGGAAGTTGATTCAGGGCACCAGGTCTAGAGCCTCCCTCTGTCCACTCGGGGGAAGTCCTTGTCGCAGCTTCTGTAACCTTCTCCTCGGCATTCCTTGGAGGGCTCCTCGTGGCATCTGTCTTTCACACGTTTATGCTTGCTTCTCTCTGTGTTTAATCTGCTCTTTCATATCCCAGAAGTGGTTGGCTTAAGGCACAGCTTACACTGACAGGGTCATGTTAACATGACAAAGGAAGTCCTATCCCCAGATGGGGTTACAGCCACAAGTCTAGGGTTTAGAATTTTGGGGAGACTCAAGTTAATCCATAACACAGTCTCCTCATATTATTAACGTGTGGTATTGGAATATACTGTATTATTAACACGTGGCACGATGCTGCACACATTGGCACAAGCATACATTTGGGCCTATTGGAAGGACACTTGATGGGGTTTAGAGAAGAGCAGTGTTGACGGGGTGGGCTCAGGAAAGAGTGGGCGCTGGACTTGACCTGCTGGATGGGGAGGATTGGGACAGGTATAACGTGGAGCAGGGACAAAGCCCATTTTCCAGCGGAAAAGTGGTCACAAACAGGGCATTCTGGGGACATTGGCAGGAGAGGGGTTTGTGTTTGGAAAGGAAGGAGGTAAGTCTGCAGAGCTGGGAAGCATTTGCCTTTTGAGTGGCCTTACACACTAGAACAAGCTGTTGGGGTTTAAGCCTAGAAGTTAATGGGTGGGGACATATCGAATTTTTGCAGAGAAGAGCAAACGACGATGTTCCTGATTAGAAGAATTAATCAAACAAAGAGAGGGAGGAGGAGACTGAGGGGTCAGAGTCTTTCAGGGGCGATTTGTTCCCTGATCTTACTCATGACGGCACATACTGAGCCCTGTGATACATTCCTGGGGAGCTGGCACACGGACACAGAGAGTAGTTTCAGGAAAGACATGTTCCCTCTACTTACGCTCTCTTGATCTGCAGACATAAACACCTGGAAGTCAGCATCAAAGCTGGCTTATGTTCAAAGCAGATGTTTAGCAAACTCTAATGGGTGGAAATGGAAACACACAGCGCTACATGATTTTTGCTTTCCTTTCTTGCTGGTGAGTTCAGTAGGTGCAATGATTTTGTATAACCCATTGCCGTCGAGTCGATTCTGACTCATAGTGACCCTATAGGACAGAGTAGAACTGCCCCATAGAGTTTCTAAGGACTGCCTGGTGGATTTGAACTGCTGACCTTTTGGTTAGCAGCCATAGCTCTTAACCACTGCGCCACCAGGGTTTCCATGAGTTTGTATATTGGGATAAAATTTACTCCAGTGATGGCTGAGTGGAGCCTGGTGTAAGGAGGAGGCTGATGGTGGGAGGAAGGATGGCAGAAAACAGAACTGCTTAGGATTCGGGGTGGAGGGAGGGGAGAGGCAGGCAGGCGCATTTTCACACCAACGTGGACCCAGTGATTTGAGGAACAGGTTGGTGGCCCTCAGCAGAAATATACAAACACAAAACTCATCGTGTATTTAATTGTTGTCATTCCAAATCATATAGTCAATTGTTATCATGCCAAAAGAATTTAAATACGTTCCCCGTTTCATTTTAGTTTCATGGACGTGTAATCTTGGAAGAGGATTACAAAATATTCGATAGCAAAACACTCTGAGTTTAACGTTACCATCACTAGAGGACTTGGGGACGTCAAATAAATGATGCTGTATTTTGTTAGTATTTTGACAAATAGCAAACTATTTTTCCAAGGAATTGTGCAATGCTAAAGACTTTTGAAAACTCCTTTTTGGTTTCTTCTGAAAAGAACTTGAGAGAAACTTTGTGTTTTTTCTTTGGGTGGCTAGGAAGCCACGGATCACAGTTCCCTCATCAGCCCGAGTAGCCTGGCCCTTGTCTCTACCACAGTGTCTTGTATTTGATCCTGAAATTTCACAACGTGACCAAGGCACAGTCATAGAAGCTTCACAGACACATCCAAACACCTTGAGGGACCGAGCTACTGGGGCTGAGGGCTGGGGACCATGGTCTCAGGGGACATCGAGGTCAATTGGCACAACATAGTTCATAATGAAGATGTTCTCCATCCTACTTTGGTGAGCAGCATCTGGGGCCTTAAAAGCTATGAGCAGCCATCTAAGATACATCTATTGGTCCCATTCCATCTGAAGCAAAGGAGAATGAAGAAAACCAAAGATGCAAGGAAAATATCAGTCCAAAGGACGAATGAATCACATGAACCACAGCCTCCACCAGCCTGAACCCAGTAGAAATAGATGGTGCCCAGCTACCATCGCTGACCACTCTGACAGGGATCACAATACAGGGTCCAAGACAGAGCAGGAGGAAAACGTAGAACAAAATTCAAATTCATAAGACCAGATTAGTGATCTGACAAAGACTGGAGGAACCCCTGAGACTATGGCCCCCGGACACCCTTCTAACTCATAACTGACTCTGCTCCCAAAGCCGACCTTTCAGCCAAGGAGTAGACAGCCTATAAAACAAACAATAATATGTGTGAGGAACGTGCTTCTTAGTTCAGTCAAGCATACAAGACCAAATGGGCAACACCTGGCCAAAAGCAACGACGAAAAGGCAGGAAGGGACAGGAAACCTGGATGAACGGACACAGGGAACCCAGGGTGGAAAAGGGGAGAGTGCTGACACATTGCAGGGATTGCAACCAATGTCACAAAACAATTTGTGTATGAATTTGTAAATAAGAAACTAATTTGCGCTGTAAACTTTCACCTAAAACACACACACACAAAGAGGCTTATGCTTTACCAGGAAACCCCAGGCGTGTTTTTCAATTAGTTATAAAAAGATCACTCAGTTGACATATGTTTCCGTGAAGTTGGAGTGGCGTTCTGTAATCCACACTGCACCCCTCCATCCTCTGATGGTTTTTACTCTTGCTGCCCAACTCCACCCCGTCCCACAGTTTCTCATGTGCCCTGTTCCAGTGCAGAAGTGACGAGAGGGAGTCTAAAGGCGTACATAGAGGGACAGGACCGCCATTGCATCCATGGTTCTTCAATGCTTGCCTCTCTGCTTAGGGAACCAGTGGGCAGATTAGGTGCATCTGGCTTGGACCCTGCTGGCCGATCTCTCCTTTCTTATAACACCTGGCGAGCTAAGGTCACCAGCTGTTCGTTCCCAGCCAGCCTTCTATTGCTTACCTGTTTTCTATCTCTTCCTCATCCATCCTACGGAATAGGACTGGCTGTGATGGTTTTGAACCACATCCAGCATTTCCCTTCTTGACATTTGTCTTAAGCCATGAACAGCGTGTTGAAGTAGCCCCTCAAACCAACACCAGTTCATGGTTCCTGCCAAGCCACGGTCTGGGGGTCAACCGTCCCATCTGCGCGGTGTGGGTGTTGTGATGAATCCGTGGGGGCTGTAGGCAGACTGTCAGCATCAATCACGTGTGCACGCTTATTTAACTTGCTCTCATAATTGTAGTCTCCTTGCAAATCTTTTCCATTCTGAATTCAGATGACGCGGCCGCTCCTGTGCTGGAGACTCAGCCCCAAGGAGATGAAGAAGGTGAGTCCCGGGGGTGGTGTGGTCTGTCTTGGTGATGGAATTGAGGAAGGGTGGCTATGGAGCTGGGGAGATGGAACCAAACTGTCTCGGTTAGAACTCGACTTAAAGTGGGCTGTATTCAGCCTTTCCCGCCTTACGAGAGCATTTCCATTATCTTTCCCTGATGACTTTGGAGGAAGTGTTTTAAGTATTGGTTGTTGACTACGAATGACACATTGCTTTCGTATAGCAGAAAGCTAAGTCATTTTATTTTGTTTGCTTGTTTATTAATCAAAATTTAAAGAGCCACAGTATAAGCAGCCTTTAACATCTGGTTATGATTGAAATAGTACAACTTGGATAATAGAAAACATATATTTCAAAAGGGTGCAATGACATGTGTTGTTTTTCCATTCATATTTCACATTTTCTAAGTAGCCGTAACAAGGATGGATTTCCTATTCTTACCCAGGAATAAATTGTCTGAGGTACTTTCGAAAAAATCAGCCACTGAAAACCCTGTGGAGCACAGTTCTACTCTGACGCACCTGGGGTTGCCATGAGTCGGCGTTACCTAGATGACAATGGCTTTTTTTTTTTTTTTTACTTTTTCCAGTGTCTGTGTTCTTAGGTATAAAATAGTGATCCTACTATACCCATTAAATTTGTTTGTTAAACAGTGTTACTAAAAGTGATGTGTTCCCAAAGTTATATTTTAAATATGGTGTTTGTGTTGAGACTTTGAACTGAGCAAAACTCTGTGTGTGACATGGGTAATTATCTTTACCGCATAAGAATACATTTTGGCACATTGGGGCTATTTTTTCTTTTAAAACTTTTTTTTTTTTTTTTAAGTGAGACCCATCTGGATTCAAATAGTCTTTAATTATACTTTTGGATTAAAAAAAAGAAAAAGAAAAACGTGCTAAAAATAATATTTTACAATGTATATTATTGTTTTTTATCTTATCAATTTAATCACTTTATTTCTTTAAAATATATAAAGTGTGTTCATTTATTGATTTTTTTTTTTTTGTTTTTTTGGTTTTTACTCTTAGGCTACCTGCTAAAAATCGTTGAGAGACTTTGTGTTTTTGTGATGAATGAAAAATCATGATTTTATTTTCATTTATTAGATATTGCGTCACGTTACCCCACACTTTGGACTGAGCAAGTGAAAAGTCGGCAGAACAAGACCAACAAGAATTCAGGTAAAACCGAGTTTAAAGTTACTCTGTAAGATGTGATTTAATAGGTAGAGAAAATGACTTTATCTTCTTGAAGTTAAATGTAGAGTACTTTTTTTTCCTTGGTTACAGTGAGTGATCTCAAAGTCATTCTTATGACTTGACCACAAAGAACTTTTTCCAATTTTGGCATTCTTTGTCAGATTTTCTAAATTCTTTCAAATATTGTTCTGCATAGTCCAAGAAAACTACAGTAATGAAGTATAAAAATATTTGATAATAAATATTTGAGGTTTGACTTAATTTCAGTGATGCCAGCATGCATGGCTAATTTAATTTAAAATCCACCAAGTTGTGTGTGTTGTGTTTGCTACAAACAGTGTTGGACAGAACTTTCGCTGTTTAAAGCTGACTGCTTTGACGTTGTGTGGACAATCAAGTAATGGCTGCTTCATCTTCGGTTAGTGATCTCAGTGGGTTTCGTGGAGTCTGATTCTCTCTGAAATTTGTATCTAAGCTCTCAGTTGATTGCCTGTGTGTTCCCTCTTGCTTTTCAAATGAAGTCTTTAAAATTTTTTATCATTTTTTTTCTCAATAAATTCCTATTGAAAGGAACAGTCAGTCTGGGCTCAGAGGAGTCCCGCTCTCGATGCGGCACGGACAGCAGCAACATGAATTTTCTGCGACTGGCTGTGAGGTTAAAGGTGGCACACACTTACTTCCAAAGGCTTCCTAGCCTCAGAGCTTTGTTTTATCTGCGGTTACATGTTTTTCTTCAAAGTATATTTTTAATATCCGTTTATGAAAAGAATTCAAAAGCTTTATTAGAATTCAGCATATTAAGTAGTATCTTAGTTATCTTAGTCATCTAGTGCTGCTATAACAGAAATAGGGCACGTGGGTGCCTTTAACAAACAGAAGTTTATTTTCTCACCGTTTAGGAGGCTAGGAGTCTGCATTCAGGGAGCTGGCTCAAGGGGAAGGCTTTCTCTCTGTCTCTCTCAGTGTCTCTCTGTCTCTGTCTCTCTCTGTCTCTCTGTCTCTGTCTCTCTCTCTCTTGTCTGAGCTTCTGCTCCTGGGCGATCTCCATGTGGCTTGGCATCTCTGTTTCCCCATCTCTACTTCCTAGTTTGCTTGTTTAATCTCTTTTATATCCCAAAAGAGATTGAGTTAAAACAGACCTTACCCTAATCCTGTCTCATTAACATAACAAAGAAACCCATTCCCAAATGGGATTATAAAACCACAGGCATAGAGGTTAGGGTTTACAACACATATTTTTCGGTGACACAGTTCAATCCATAACAGGTAGTTCGATTTCCTTGCCAGCATCTACACCTCTTACATACACATCCTACTGAGTTGACGTTCAGTTTTGACGAGCTATTTCACAAGCTACCTCTAAGCCTCAAGACAGACTTTGCATAGCAGAACCGTTTACTGATTTACAACTGCAGAAGTCCAAGTTGACAAAATGCTAAATGAACACCAGTGTGATTTTTCTCCTTTCTAAAGCGTTCTCGGGTCACTGAGTTTCCACCTGAACATTTGCCCAAATATATTTGCCAGATAGCACCTAGAATACACATTGGAAACCTCATATTATCCCATTGCACATTATGTGGATTCACCAGTTATTTTTGGTGGGTGAAAATAGCCAAGCTGATAATCCTGTTTCCACTGTTATACCAACTGGAATGTACTGGGGACAGGGCGGTGGCGGCAGAGGCATCATGGCGCACGTGGGGAGATGCAGAAGTAGCGACGAAAACATTGATTGTAGAGCTGTTCCTGCCAATAACTTGCTGTCATTTAATCCATCCCTACGTTTATGTAACACATGCTCCTGAGCATCTCCCACCTGCCAAGGCCTATGATAAGCCCAGGAATACAAAGATGCATATTAAAAGGCCTTGTGCTCAAGAAGGTTTGGGCGAGCAACCAGGCGTGTAAGCAGATAGGTTACCGTACAGCATGGAGCATGCCAGATGGCAATATTGATGAAGGATGATGGGAAGACAGGGCCTTATTGAACCTTCTTGGATCATCATGGAATGAGAGGTGAGGCTTCTGTCTCTGTGTCTCAGTTCTTCTTTAAAGGGTGACATGATGGCGGTTTTACCTGCTTCCCAAAGTTGTTGTGAAGATTAAATGAGGTGACAGTGAAAAATTTTATAAAACGTAACTTGCAAGGATTGCTGCTAAGTGTGTCGGTATTGACAAAAAGAGATCAAATCAGTGTGGCTTTCTGAATGTGGCAGGAATACTGGCTCCATGAGAGCAAGAGTGTGTCTGTGTGTGTTCATTAGTCTATTCACGGCCCGTAGCACAGAGCCTAGAACATAATAGGCACTTAGCAAATATTTGATGAATGGTGAATGAATGATTCAAATACACGAATACGGATGAGAGAAGGGGATTTATAAGGTTTCAAAGAAGTTGGAGTAGTTACTTTTAAGGACCTTAAAAAAAAAAAAGACTGATTGCTGTAGAGTTGATTCTGACTCATAGTAACCCTATAGGACAGAGTAGAACTGCCCCATAGGGTTTCCACGGAGAGGCTGGTAGATTCCAACTGCCGACCTTTTGGTTAGCAGCCAAGCTCTTAACCACTGAGCTACAGGGCTCCTTTAAGGACCCTAGAACCCACCAATTTCACCACCATTGATATTTTTCCCTTTCAAATCAGATTTTGTTCACCATCTATATACAGGGTGTTTCTGTTTAGAGGGATATGTAGAAAGGCGATATTCATTGTGTTCTTACTGTGGTTGTCTCTATACGTCTTGGTACCCAATGATAAAAGCTAAACAGTAGCAGAAGATTGGTCAAAGTGAGCAACAATGCATGGACTAATACACTTCTCCTGTGTTTCAAAGGATAGAACCTACATGTCTGCACTGGTGAGAATAACTGGTAATAGAGTGCAATTTCCATGGTAAGCAATAATTGCAGGACCTTCAAGGCCTATACTTTCTGTGTAAGAATTTAGGGATTTTTTTCCTAATTTCCATAATCCCATTAGATATCTTCATTAGCTGAATGGCTTAAGACAAAGATTTCTTGTGTGTCTAGATAAAGTTCAGCTGTTGGGCAGTTGAAAAGTGCAGTGTTGAGTTTATTCTGTTCCCCCGTGTCCATGACATCTTGACAAGTGACTCATGAAAGTGCAATGAACGGGTTAGATGGACGAGCCTGATGCAGTCTTCTTGCGCGATTTCTATCCCATGGTGGTCCTCGAACACTATGTTCATTCCTGTGTCTGACTGTTGGTCTTCAGCTTGTCACTGCCAAGAGCTTTCCCTCAGTTCTTCTTGGCTCCTGTTGGCCTGAGATGAAAAGGGGCAAAATCCAAAGGTTTGACCATTGGATACGTGGGTAGCAATGGTATGGAAATTTAAAAATAATTTATAGAACTTAAAAAGAACGTTTTTCTCAGAAATTATTGTTATGGACAAGATTTCCTTACTGTATAAAGATATTAACCTGTCAGTTTCTCTCATGAACTTTAGACACTGAGTTGTTTTTATTCAATCCTGTCACCACATTTGAACTGTTCCCTTCTGTGTGATTTGTTTCTGTATCATACAGTTTAGCGTATGGAAAGTAATTAAAATATTGTATATTTCAGATTTACTGGTGGATCTTGACAATTCCTCACAGAGAAGCAATATGGCAGTACCTAAACTTGGTATGAGAAATAAATGTACAAATTATTGCATTCAGTGTCACTAGAAATGTACATTTTCTCAAGCAAATTTTTCAGTAGGAAACTATGTCAGGTTTTGACAGATTAAGGTCTGTGTAGGCTCATGGAACAAGCACGTTTTTGTATTTCACCCTTCGCTTGTTGTTAACAGATTTTCAGGCCTTGAAGTGACCTGCCAATTATAATTAACCAATAAAAACAGTGCAGACATTCAGTATTTACTGAGGCTGAAAATAATGTTCCAGGAAATCCCAGTTGACATAAGTTACCGTGCACTATAATTTACATCGGCCTGAATGTGTAGAACACAAAGAGATGACATTGAGTTGACATATAGACACGGAGCATGAAATTACTGGATCGTATTTATGTTTTACCAACCACTTGTCCAAGCGCATGTTCTTTCTCAGGGTCTGAAGAAAGTCAGACCTAGTTGGTATTTTAAGACATTAAAAAATAGTATGTAATTGATTAAGTTTTGACAATGAAATGGCAAACAGTCTTAAGATTTCCAAAATGATCACGGTTGTCGCTGAGATTTCAAACAGCAGCAGCGTTTCATTTGTACATAAAAGATACTTACAACCATCTTTGGTAGCTGTAGACACATTTATTTAGCAGCACACAAATAATTCGTGACCTGTTTATTCTGCGTTTTTTTAAAAATGCACCTTATTTGTTAGTACCCTTTCATGCTCTTCTACAGATAATGCCCAACTTGGAATGGATTACTTCTTTCTCTTTTTATTTTTATTTATTTTTTATCAGATAACAGTAGTGTAGTTTTTCTAGAAATTTGTACTAAAATAGTATAATATTCCTTTTATTACTAAATGCATAGCATAGGACCAACCATGCATAATGAGTGTATACGGTCTAGATGTGTCTGAATATTCTTTGGGGCATATAGCATCTGTAGTTTTTTTTTGTTTTTGTTTTAACATTTTTGCAAAGGAAAATAAAGTACTCCTAAAAACCAAAACCAAACCTGCTGCCGTTGAGTCAATTCCGACTCATAGTGACCTTTTAGGACAGAGTAGAACTGCCCCATAGGATTTCCAAGGAGCGGCTGGTGGATTCAAACTGCCAACTTTTTCTTTAGCAGCTGAGCTCTTAACCACTGCACCACCAGGGCTCCAGAGCAGTCCTAGCCTATGAAAATTTACATATAGTAGGTACTCAATAAATGTTTATTTTCTAAATTAGTAAAGGGTTTTATCATCATACATTCCATAGACACTCTGATGGTATCGTTGCTTTTTTTTCTCAAAAGTGAATTAAATGCAACAACAACAAAAACGTAAGCAAATAGATA